ATTTAGCTTGTCAAATCTCGGCAAGTTGGCAAGTAGGGATCATATGACATTTAAAACTTTAGAGGAGACCTCCTGGTCTGCTCCAGCCACCTCCCCAGCCAGGCAGAGAAATGAAACGTGCCTCCAGTTCCAGACCAGCTGGTTCTCTTGCAGGCAAGCCATCTCTTTGTGTCGTCCATGCCTTACGAGGCGGGTATGCGAATTCCCACGTTAAATGGATTGCGGGCAAAGGAAGAGACCAACTTGTGACCTGGTGTCCCAGATTCCTCTCCTCAAGATAAGAGTGGGCAAACAGTCAGATCTATAATGCTTTCCAGAGTGGCCCTTCCTGAGTGCCTTGCAGGCTCAGCAGGTGCGGGCTGCTTCTCTCTGCTGCCAACGTGGAGCTGTCTAGCGCTCCCCGTGGCCTTTGGAAGCTCACGATGGCGGAGCACTCCTTGCCTTCTCTACCCAGCATGGAGCAAGGAACACGGAGCCCTTCTGCAGCAGCGAGATGGCTCTCACTCCTCAATAAGCCCTGCAGCCACACAGCTGCCCAGAAATTCACTTGGGGTGGGGGGGAGAACCCTCGCCAAGGTTTCAAACCCCCAATTCATCCCCAGTTAGGGTGAAGAACCTCCACCAAGCTGACTGGGAATGTGTCCAGAATTCTCAATCGAAGCTGTGTCCTCGGTAACACCTCGCAGGGATCCCTGTCCTGTCTCCCCTTCACCTGCTGCACTGAGTGTCTCCCCCCTGGTAGGGCCGCGTCTTTTTCACTACCATTCCCCAGAACAGCCTAGCCCAGTGTCTGGAGGCCTGGGTAAATACTGATTGAATGGACGAGTTCTGTTTACAAGGTCTTCTTCACTACTGCTACCTCCCAAAAGAGTAGAAATCCCAGGGGGTCGTGATCGCCCTTCAGCCAGGCTCCTGGCACTCGACCTGCTCAGTGACTGTCTGAGCTTCCTTGGGGCCAGGGTCATTTCCCAGCTGCTCATGGTTGTGGGAGCTGGAGGAAGCATCTCTCCCTCTGTTTCTCTCTCTTTTCCCAGGGGGTCGTGATCGCCCTTCAGCCAGGCTCCTGGCACTCGACCTGCTCAGTGACTGTCCGAGCTTCCTTGGGGCCAGGGTCATTTCCCAGCTGCTCATGGTTGTGGGAGCTGGAGGAAGCATCTCTCCCTCTGTTTCTCTCTCTTTTTGTTCTCTCTCTGCAGGTCTAACACTAGTTATTAGGTTTGGTCTTTGTCCTTTACTCTTTCTTCATTTACGAAATAGAGACTGCTTTCGTCATAGCTTGTGCTGTGTTTCTCTCTCTCTCTCTCTCTCTCTCTCTCTCTCTCTCTCTCTCTCTCTCTCTCGTGCTTTGCATCATCAGCTTGAATTTAGGAGAGAAGCCAGAAGTGACACCATCCCCCCGCACATAGCACTGCCTGCTGCTCCCCTCACCTCTTCATAACAATAACTCAACTACAGATTTCCTCTTGCTCCGGGCACCATGGAAGAGCCTGTGCATGCTTTCTCTCTTTTAATCCTTGCAATATCCTGAAGTTACATGTACTATTATTACCCCCTCAAGGAAATGGATGCTTCAGGAGGTCAAGTACCTGGCCCAGGGTCACACAGTTGGTGAGTGGTGGAGCCAGGCTGGGATCCAGGTAGCCTGGGCTCCTAAGTCTTTGGATGTCACCCACCACCAGAGGCATCAGCTGTGGACTGAGATGAGCCCTACAGAGTGAAAGCTTCCTAGGACCATAGAGCCACCCCAAGGACTGAGCTGGAAGGAGCCTTGGAGAGACTCTGGGACACCACCCTCTTGTACAGGTGCATACAATGACACTCGAGCCCCACCCTTTAGCTAAGGAAGCATGTGAGACCACTAGTGAACAGCAGTTCTTCCAGTGGCTCCTCTTGGCATCCACTGTCAATGGAGACCGGGTGAGAGAGACCAGCCAGATATGGGATGGGATCTGCTCACATCTGATTCAGACCCAAACACTGTGGCTTGTTCTAGAACTCTGGAGGCCTCCCAAGTTGCACATGGCTTTAGGGTAGCCTCCAAAACTTTGAGGCTGCTGGTTACCACATCTGATCTACAGAGCTGCAAAGCACTGCCCTGTCCTCACACCTGAGTTTGTTCACAGCCTCCTCCCTCTGCAGTCATGAGCTGACGAGAGGATTTTCACCTAGTTATCATCTCCACTTCATGGTCCTTCTATTTCCATGGCTAGCCCATGGATGCTCAAGTTCTGATCACAGCCTCTGAGGCTGAGCTTCCAGCCCTGCAAATCCTGAGCCAGAAGCCCGCGTTGGTCAGACAACTTCCATCCTGACCTTTCCTCCACCCCTGGCTCCAGATTATCCTCTGTCTGTGCTCAACAGCACCCAACACTTCCCCTCATGGCACTTACCAAAATTGTAAATTATACACGTGTGTGGATTTTTGATGAGTCTCCTCTCACCCTGGCTGTAAGCTCGAAGACAGCAGAAGCCCTGTCTGTTTTATTCATAAAAATACCTCTAACCCTGAGCACTGGGCTTGACCAGCACAGAGAAGGAGCCCAGGAAGTCTTCGTTGGATGACAAGGTAGGAGGACAGATAGATGGATGGTTATTGAGGGAGTGAGGGGAAATTTTTCTAGGATGCCAGATTCTACAACAGCACAGTTCTCTGAAGATGATGTCTCACTGTGCACGACTGTGACACAAAGAGGGACCAGGGTTCATATCCTGCCATTCCTGCAGCCTCTCCAGGCTACCACCATGGAGGCCTCCTGCTAAAACTGCTTCAAGGTTTTCCAGCCCTTGGGTTAAGGTCACTTCAAGGGGTTGGTGACTGAGGCTGAGTTCTCTCTTCTTTCTGGTGTTTGGGATTTTGCCTCTTCTTTGGCTGTTGCTTCTAGGGAGGTCAACTGTGGTGGAAAGGTGTCTGAGCAGGCTAGAGTGGATCGCTTCTACTCACTTTCCAGAAGAAGCACAATCTGGGGTCGAAGTCTCTTGTTTTACCCTGAGATCCCCCAGGAAAGAGGAGAGAGGTGGGTGGGTGGGTGGGGTAGGGTCCATTCTTGGAGGCACTGGTTTCCCTACTGCTGCTGCCTCCACACTGGTGACCCATGGGACCTCGGAGTCACCGTTTTCATGTTCTCAGTGCAGGGCCTACAACAGTGCTAGGAACAAGGAACATTTAAAGCCTTTAAGAAAGCTTTTCCATAATCATGATGACAAAGAGGACCAGGAGGACATGGACACTAACGTGGAAACCAACGGCTCTCCTCCCCACCACTTTTCTAATGTGGCACCTACTAAGTGCCAGGCATTTCACTGCTAGTTCACTGAGTTCTCACCCTGGCACCATTGTGCAGAAGAGAAAACTGAGGCCTGGGGAAATTAATCACTGCGCAGAGCTGGGGTTCAAACCCAGGGGTGGGCCACGCTTTCACTGGGTTTTTTTTCTTTGATGACTGGTAAGGGGGTCTTAACCCTTGACTTGGTGTTGTCAGCACCACGCTCACCCAAGTGAGCCACAGGCCAGCCCCTTCCTGTTGGGTTTGATTCCTGGAAATTTGGAACCATGGAGGTGGGGGCCCCACATGTCATTCAGGTCAACCTCTGACCTCAGCAGGAATTCCTTCCCAGATTTCCCAAGACCTAGTGGGTCTGGGGGTCCCTGGTGCCCAGTGGTGCCCAGCCTAGAGTGTTCCAATTGTTGGCTGCTCCTCCTCAACCACTTCTGAATCCAACTTCCCAGCCACCTCCTCCCTTCCCATCTAGGCATCTAGTCTCTGCCCCCACTCAGGAGGGGCTCCAATTGCTGCTGGAGATACAGCCTGGGCAAAAGAGCTCCTTAGCCTATGGGGTGACCCCAGCTCTTGCCACCTCCTCCCTTCCCATCTAGGCATCTAGTCTCTGCCCCCACTCAGGAGGGGCTCCAATCGCTGCTGGAGATACAGCCTGGGCAAAAGAGCTCCTTAGCCTATGGGGTGACCCCAGCTCTCGCTCTGCCATGGCCTGTTCGACCTGGCCTGTACCCTCACCCTGGGCTCCCTAACCCAACACTTTCAGAAGTGAGATCAGCCTCTGCCTAGCATGGGGTGAAGGATTACCTCTTCCTGGTTTTTCCCACTACCCCACCCACCCCCACCTGTCTTTTTTTTTTTTTTTTTTTTTTTTTTTTTTTTTTCCGTGTCCGGCAACGGTTCGGGCCGGGACCGGCAACGGTTCGGGCCGGGACCGGCAACGGGATCACAACCCTCGGTGTTGCCCCCGCGCCTTGCTCAGCCAGTGAGCGGGAACCGGTCTGTATGTGGGATCCGAACCCTCGACGGGAGGGCCACAGGAGGGCCACCGCGCTTCCCAAGCGGCGCACTAGCGCAGTGCGCCACCCGGCCGGCCCACCCACCTGTCTTTTTTAAAGCATTTGACCTGGCACCTTATTACACTGCCGTTGATGGGAGCAGGGAGCTGCAAAGGGAGACAGCTCTCCTCTGCCCCCTCTTCAGGTTAACTAGGGGGAAGGGCAACCGTAAGGAAGCAGGATGGATGGGAAGACACACCAGTACTGCCCCTGCGTGCTGACTGCTGTCCTCTCCCTCCCCACCAAAAAGCCAGATGGGGGTAAAGGGGTTGGGCTCAGAGAAGGAAAGCACTCGGCGCCCCTGGGCCCTGCTGAGTAGGCAGAGCTGGCCCCGCGGGTCCCAGCCAGGCGGAGAGAGGCACCCCCCCCACCCGCTGGGGGAGCCTG